TCCCTAAATCAGCAGTTTCACGTGAATTTTACTATCTAACGAAACCATTGATCCCTAAAATGAAAGCAATAATCCATGTGCTATACAGTGGTACCTCAGACTGAGTACTTAATTCGACAGTATTGTAGATGATAAAAATTAAAATCATTTATTTTTCTTACCTACACTGATGATAGTCATTGTTTGGATGGGGGGCTTTTATCCATTTCCGCAGTCACATAATCAATCAATCAGTAGCTGAACTGGGTTCCACACAGCCACGAAAACAAATTAACTGAAAAAGCCCCCAAAACGCAAAATAAATAGCAAAAACAAAAGCGCCCAACTTAATCCGTTCTGGAAGTCCGTTTGACTTCCGAATTGTTCGAAAACCAAGGCACAGCTTCTGATTGGTGCAGGCGCCCCGGAAACAACAGCCGACAGCCACATCGGACATTCGGCTTCCGGAAAACGTTCGGAAACCGGAACACTTCCAGGTTTTCGATGTCTGGGAACCAAGGTGTTTGAGAACTAAGGTACCGCTGTAATTTCACATTTATTGAAAGTATTTAGTTTAACGAATTCACAGAGCTGGTATTGGGGGAGCCTCCCATAGCTTTCGTTTCCCCTCTTTTCTTTACAGGGCAGCGACGGAGACAAGAGCGAAGAAAATTTGGTGGTTGATGAGCTTTGCGTGCGTATAATAGAACTTCTCGCGGGCGTATAGATATTTCCAAGTTAATGACAGTAGGCTATGGTCTGTGGGTTAAACCACAGAGCCTAGGACTTGCCAATCGGAAGGTCGGCGGTTCGAATCCCCGCGACGGGGTGAGCTCCCGTCGCTCGGTCCCTGCTCCTGCCAACCTAGCAGTTCGAAAGCACGTCAAAGTGCAAGTAGATAAATAGGTACCGCTCCGGCGGGAAGGTAAACGGCGTTTCCGTGCGCTGCTCTGGTTTGCCAGAAGCGGCTTAGTCCTGCTGGCCACATGACCCGGAAGCTGTACGCCGGCTCCCTCGGCCATAAAGCGAGATGAGCGCCGCAACCCCAGAGTCGGCCACAACTGGACCTAATGGTCAGGGGTCCCTTTACCTTTACTATGGTCTTTGTGGGCGTTTCCTGCATTCAGGCAGACTTCTGAACCGTTGAAGAAAAGCTTGCCCTATAGCCAATATCCAAGGCAAGAAAAGAAGTCGCAGTTTAGAAACTGATGATCGAGAAGCGTCCCAAAAAATTGTCATGGAGGAAGGGGAAGTCGTGAAGCAATGCACCTGCAAATAAACAAGGAATTAAACATGCAAATAAGGGATCCGGGTGACGCTGTGGGTTAAACCACAGAGCCTAAGGTTTGCCGATCAGAAGGTCGGTGGTTGACGGGGTGAGCTCCCGTTGCTCGGTCCCTGCTCCTGCCAACCTAGCAGTTCAAAAGCACAAAGTGCAAGTAGATAAATAGGTACCGCTCCAGCAGGAAGGTAAACAGATGGTCCCCAGGGCTAGCTGGCTGAATTGGTCCTACTTGGGGCAGCGAGGAGGCCAGGGGAGAATTAGCTGTGGGGTCTCAGAGCGAGTGATCTTCATAAAAGGGAAGAGAAAGGAAATAAAAGATCAGGCTGGATTCAAATTAAACTAGAAGGGGGTTAGTCCCGCTTCACAAGCCGAAGCCCGTTTTGCTCGTTCGATGCACCAGTATTGGCTGCTGAGAATTTTTGTTTGAGGTCTGCAGAAAGCAGATATCTGAACAGGAATCATTTACCGTATTTTTCGCTCTATAAGACGCACCAGACCACAAGACGCACCTAATTTTTGGAGGAGAAAAACAAGAAAAAAAATATTCTGAATCTCAGAAGCCAGACCAGCAAGAGGGATCGCTGCGCAGCGAAAGCAGCAATCCCTCTTGCTGTTCTGGCTTCTGGGATGGCTGCGCAGCCTGCATTCGCTCCAAAAGACGCACACACATTTCCCCTTACTTTTTAGGAGGGAAAAAGTGAGTCTTATAGAGCAAAAAATACCGTAGTTGGAAAGGACCTCTGATACCTGTCTGTTTGTTTGTCTCTCTCTCTTTCTGTGTGTCTGTTTCTGTTTTCCCCATACCAGGATCCCTCCTCGCCCCACAGCGTCAATTCCTTCTCCTCCCGGGAAAACGGTGTCGATAAAATCTCCCTGCAGAGGAAAGAGTCCATGCAGCTCAGTCCAACATCCTGCAGTTCCTCCCCACCCCGGATCACCAAGGAGGTGGTCACGGTACGTGCGTCATTTCGGGGGATCTATGCCTTCCTGCTTTCAGGGGATCCAGGGAGCATTTGGGGGGGGGGAAGCCCCGACAAATGAGGCACAAAGCAGCCCATTCTCGTACTGTTTCCACGAACGTCTTGGCTTTGTTTGATGGATTTCGTACGTTTATATGCCGCTTAGAGTAGGAAAACAACCTCGGAGGTAAACTGGTCCCGAGTTGGAAAGGGCTTTACACACTGATAGTGACACCTTGAAAACACCGTAAGAGTGCAGCAGAGCTGGTCGGAATATAGGCGGTCCTTTAGATGTTCGAAGCTCATCATGTTTGGTGCCTCCAGCTAATTGTTGCGTTATATTTATAATATAATAAGTTTGCTTCCATCAGATTGCGAAGCCACATTAAAGCATCAAACCTTAAAAACTTCCCTGTATAAGGCTGCCTTCAGATGTCTTCTAAAAACCTGTGCCATTGTTTATTTCTTTGACATCTGATGGGAGGGTGCCACTACCGAGAAGGCCGTGCCACCTCACGTCATAGCTTTCAACCGTCCCTTATTTGGCAGGAAAGTCCCTTATCCCAGCGCCGTGTCCCACTGCTGTCCCTTATTGATGATGCCCCTTAAATTTCCCAGGTTTCAAAGGTAGCAGCTCCTCTCCCTCCCTCCCTGCCGGTCAGGGAGGAGGGAGGCTCCAACTGTGTTGCTTGGCTGCGTTGCTCACCCCATAAGGAGTCTGAGAACGACTGGGGGGTGGAGCTTGCATGCCTTGTGCCGATCAAATCGGCCGCGTTGCCTGGGGTCTCACCTTTGCTCAGCGCTTCCCAGCGGAGAGGTGACGGTGGTTTTCCTTGCTGCATCCCCTTTGCCGGGTTGCTGCGCTGTGGGAACCACCGCTTGAGGCTTCGTTTGGCTGCTGGTTGACTAAAATCCCTTATTTTGGCTGCTGATCCCTTATTTTCGAGGCTGCTGGTCCCTTATTTTCAGATCTGAAAGTTGACAGCTATGCCTCCCGTCTCGCAGAGACACAACCACCAGAAGACACGCACACACACCCCGAGCTAGACCTCAGTTGTCGTTGTGGTTTTTTCTTCTTTTAAGAGTGGGAAGGACTTTGTCCGCTCTCCCCGAGCTTCTCTGAGAAAGGGATGGGGGCAGAGGTGTAAATAAATGAAATTAAAGCAGTAATACCTTCCAGGTAGAGAAAGCGGGCACCCCCGGTTTGAAGTCCAGCACCCCGACTTCCCAAGGTGAAGGGACGGCACCGGGATCCTCCAGCAGCAGCACGCCCCAGCTCCGTCCAGGGGTCGCGAAGCAAACGGTGGAATCTCTTGGTAATGGGGGAGGGGAGGTCGGAAGCTGGTCTGTGATTTGGGCGGGGAGGTGTGTGTGAACTGCTGTCAAACTGGCCTTCAAGTCCTTTTGGCTCTTTCTTCCTATAGAAATAAGGTTGTAAGGCTGTCGTCACGCTGCAGTTCCTGCAACCGCCAGTAGGGGGCCACCCAACTCCAGTGTGACGAGCAGCAGGCAGGAGAGAGAGAAAGCAAGCCGGGCAGGGAGCCCAGGTGAACTTTTTAATGCAGGCGGAGGCACTGTGAAGTTTGCAGAGCCTCTGTGTGCTTCACAGAGCAGCAAAAGAGCTTCACAAGAACAGCTTGCTAAACTGCTGTGTGAAGCACTCGCCAAATTAAACTTCGCTGCTGACCTGTTTAATGGAGTGCTTATTATTATATCCTAATAATCCATTGTGGGACGCGGGTGGCGCTGTGGGTTAAACCACAGAGCCTAGGACTTGCCGATCACAAGGTCGGCGGTTCGAATCCCCGCAATGACGGGGTGAGCTCCCATTGCTCGGTCCCTGCTCCTGCCAACCTAGCAGTTCGAAAGCACGTCAAAGTGCAAGTAGATAAATAGGTACCACTCCGGCGGGAAGGTAACGGCGTTTCCGTGCACTGCTCTGGTTCGCCAGAAGCGGCTTAGTCCTGCTGGCCACATGACCCGGAAGCTGTACGCCGGCTCCCTCGGCCATAAAGCGAGATGAGCGCCGCAACCCCAGAGTCGACCGCGACTGGACCTAATGGTCAGGGGTCCCTTTACAGCATACAGCTTCTGGGTCATGTGGCCAGCATGACTAAGCTGCTTCTGGCACACCAGAGCAGCGCACGGAAATGCTGTTTACCTTCCCGCCGGAGTGGTACCTATTTATCTACTTGCACTTTCACGTGCTTTCGAACTGCTAGGTTGGCAGGAGCAGGGACCGAGCAACGGGAGCTCACCCTGTCGCGGGGATTTGGACCGCCGACCTTCTGATCGGCAAGTCCTAGGCTCTGTGGTTTAACCCACAGCGCCGCCCGCGTCCCATCCCTTTACCTTTATCTCTCATCTATTCCTTGATCCTTTTCTTCCACTTCAGCCCTGAGCCTGCGAAATCCACTCACGGTCCAGAGCTCCTACCAAGCCGCCTTCAACGTGGCTCACGCGTCCGTCAACGGCGACATGGCGAGCGCGGGGCCTTACGCGGGGCTGCACCTGGTAACCCCCCAGCTCAATGGGGCGGCGGTCGTGGGGGCCGCCAGCTACGGGCGCTCCCCTCTGGTGAGTATTTGAGCCATTGGGGCTTTGGGAAATGAGAGAGGGCTGCGCTATGCTGAGCCAGACCATTGCTCCATCTAGACCAGTGCTGCCGACACAGGTTGGCAGCATCTTTCCAGCATTTCAGGCAGGGAGAACGTGCTCGGCCCAGCCTATAGATGCTGTGGATTGAGACTGCCAATGAGCCATCGCGCCCCCTCAAAGCAAAATGCAAGGTTCCAGTCCTCAAGTTTCTGAACGAAAGCTAAGTCCGACCTGAGTCGAAGCCCATCTAGACCAGTGCTGCATACACTGGCTGGCAGCAGCTATCCAGCCTTTCAGGTGCCAGGCTTAGCTGAACCCAGAGATGCCAGGGAGTTGCACCTGGGACCAGCTGAAGACTGGCCACTCTGCCACTGAATTAAAACCTTCCACCTAAAACTGAAAAGTGTCTGGTCTTCATGGTTGCGAAATCGAGGGCAGATTGAAGTAGCAGCAAATGGTTTATTTCTTGAGAAGTGGCAAATGGCCATCTCTTCCTGGGAAGAAGCCTTTTTCGTTATCCTGCATTCGTAAGAAACTGCATTTGTAAGATCTTTTGCCGTGGTGGCGCTTTGAAACTCACTGCTTATTTCGGCACCAGCTGAAAACATTTTCCCGCCTGTTCAAGCCCAAACCAGGTGTGTAGAATATTGGCCCGTGTTCCAATCTGGTTTTGTAGCTTATCATAGAATTGTAGAGTTGGACCGGATCACCCCCCCTGCAATGCAGGAATCTTGCCCTGCTGTGTCGTTGATTCAAATCATTATCTGGATCTTTTACCTGTCACTGCTGAAGGAATGGGCTTCTGTGCAGGGACCCAAAATCCACTTTTTTCCTTTTCCAAGGGAGCATTTCTAAAATGCTTTAACTTGAGCTCTTGAGCCAAAACCCAGCTGTATAAACAAGTGCTCAAAGCTCTCTCCCTTATCAGTCCATGAAGGCTGGTAATGACGGATGGCCTTGTCCGTTCCAAAGTGGAACAGGGATGGCACGTCTGGGCCTTATCTTACGTCCTGACCACAAAGATGCACAGACCTAGTCCGGGAACAGTGCCAGAGTGTGTTCTTGGAGTTGGTGACCTCTTGCTCCAAGATAAGAGTATAGGGGGGACAGGAATACCCTTTTATGGTCAGAAGTACAGGAAGCAATATTCTTTTATGGTTAAGAATACTGGAGCAGGAACATATGTGATGTCAACCTGCGTGTATAGGCTGACGTGATTGGATTCCTGGGGAAGGAGGGAGAGGGTGCCTGGAGGATATATATACTGCATGAAATTTCTTATTTCTTTGGACTTGCTGTGGACTGACCACGCAAGTGCCTTCTGCTATCCGGAGAGTAGAATAAAAGAACTCTTTCTCTGAATCGACCTCAGTGTCATTTGACTTCCTTCCTCCCGTCCGGGAGCAGCACAGAGCCCACCAATCGGTAAAGTCTAATAAAGCTACACTGCGACAAGCTCCCTTCCCCTCTGCTCTCCCAGAACCAGGAGAGGCATGAAAAGGGCAGAGGATAGGTTGGCTGACGCAGGCGCAGTCTCCAATTGCTTGGGGAAAAACCCTGGAAAGGAGGGAACTATGGGGAGACGGGCGCTTCCAGCCCTGCCGACTGGTCTCCATGGAGAAAGACCTGCCAGAGATGAGCTGCTCCGCCCATTAGGCCATGACACTCTGCCAAATCTGCGTTTTTGCTAATAGAGAGTTTGCTCCCACTTTGATTCAGTGCCGGCTGGCTTTGTGAAACTCACGTTGCTTCCTGTTAACCAAAGCAAATCCTCTCCTCTGGTCTGACCAGGTCGCCTACGACCCTCACTCTCACCTGCGGGTCCCGGGATTGTCGACAGGGATGCAGACAGGTGTGGCTTCAGCAAAGCCGTAAGTGATGGCGTGGGGGTCTGTGCGCGCAGCAAGGGCCGAATTTGGGGATTGAGGAGGGTGGCGTCCCACGGCCGAGCCTCGAAAGCAAAGCAACGTTGGCAATAAACGGTGTCTAAAAATCTCCCCCTTTGTGTTCCCGTGTCTGAGCCTCTGAAGCTAACAGATAATAATAATAATAATAATAATAATAATAATAATTTTTTATTTATACCCCCCCATCTGGCTGGGTTTCCCCAGCCACTCTGGGCGGCTTCCAACAAACACTAAAATACAATAACCTATTTAAACATTAAAAGCTTCCCTAAACAGGGCTGCCTTTAGATGTCTTCTAAAAGTTTGGTAGTTACTTTTCTCTTTGACATCTGATGGGAGGGTGTTCCACAGGGCGGGCGCCACCACCAAGAAGGCCCTCTGCCTGGTTCCCTGTAACTTGGCTTCTCGCAGGGAGGGAACCGCCAGAAGGCCCTCTGAGATATCTTGATTTATTGCTCAGATAAGCGTCCGGCACGCTTCCCCCATTGCGTAGGCCTCTGCATTCCAAAGGGCACATTCCGATACTTCTGAGCATAGCAGAGTTCGTCAGCGGCTAGAGGAAGCCAAAACACTCCAGTGCATTCTTCAGTGTGCTTAAATAAAGTCCACTCAGGATCTTAGCAGCTAAAAGCAGTTTTATTTACAGCAGGCTATCCATTATCTATCACAGCGAACAGCATCGCGAAAACACGTCCTCTCTCCTCAAAAGCGAAAGTAGAGAGACAGAACAAAGACTTTAGTCTCTCGGAACTGACGTAGCATTTCCCCCCTCCCACCAGTAGGCAGGGCGTACAGTCTGAGCTGTTTAACCCTGTAAGCTCAGGTTCTCCTCACACCCCCTCTCGCTCTGCGCTACTGTGGGGACAGTAAGTACAGAACTTACCCCCAACTCCAAACCACCACAAAACTCCCCATGACGCTGGAAGCTTAAAGGTTTGGTAAATCCATCGGCCAGGTTACTGTGACTGGCACAGTACTTCAGTCGTATCAAACCTGACTGAACACTCTGACACACATTTTGGAAACGTATGTCCAGATGCTTGGTTCTCGCCTTAAATTGCGCAGATTCAGCCAACTTCAAACAAGGCTGATTGTCTTCCCAAACCGTGATGGGCAAGCTACAATCCCCATAGATCTCTTGCACCAAGCATCTATAGAACTCTAGTTCTCGGCACAAGTCTGACAGTGCACTGAATTCAGCCTCAGTAGAAGACAGCGCAATGAGACTTTGCTTCCGGGACTTCCACCCAACCAGTGACTTCCCAAACTTTATCACCAACCCAGACACAGACTTGCGGTCCTGCGAATTCGCCCAGTCACTGTCCGCATAGCATGTGAGCTTCGCCTCACCTTCAGCTGGCAGCTTAAGACAGAAGTCTTTGGTATGCTGCAGGTAGCGCAGTACCCGCTTGATACCGTGCCAAGCACTCACACTGGGCTTTGACGCTTCCCTACTTAGCAGGTTGGTAGCAAAGGCAATGTCTGGTCTGCTCCATTGGGACAGATACAACAGACTACCTAGAGCTGACTGAAAGAGCTCAGCATTCTCAAACTCAGCACTTTCTGCTTGCTGGCTATCTTTCACGAAGTTCGTCTCCATGGGTGTCCGAACTCCTGCACAATCGGACATTCTGAACTTCTCCAGCAACTGCTCAATCTTGCCTTTCTGACTGAGCAAGAAGCTACCATCCTCAGTTCTCGCTATCTGGACACCTAGGTAGATCTTTACTGCACCCAGGTCCTTGAGCTGAAACCGTTTCCCAAGCTCTTTGGCAAACTTCTGCACCTGTTTGTCTGCCTTTCCAACATGGATGATGTCATCAACGTAAAACAACACCAGTTCCTGTGAGTCTCCTGATCCTCTAAGGAACAGGCAACTGTCAGCAAGACTCTTCCTGAAACCTAGCTTCTCCAAAGCTTCATTCAGGCACAAGTTCCAATTCCTGGCCGACTGCTTCAGGCCGTAAATTGACTTGTGAAGTTTCCACACAGTACCTCGCTCATTGCCCTCAAACCCTGGAGGAGGAAGCATGTACAGATCCTCCTGGAGGTCTGAGTTCAAGTAAGCAACATCCACATCAAAGTGATGCACCAGCAAACCTCTTTGTGCAGCGATGGCCAAGACCAAGCGTAGAGACTCACTCCTACACGTGGGCGCATAAATCTCCGTATAATGCAACCCCCTCTGCTGCGTGAATCCTCTCGCCACTAATCTGGCCTTATACTGCGGTTCTCCTGCCGCTGTGGGCTTAAGACGGTAAACCCAGCGGCTACCCACTGCCTTTTCACCCACCGGCAACTTCGTGAGGGAGAACACACCTAGAGACTCCATTGAGTTCATCTCCTTCTGCATCGCCTCATGCCATTTCCTGGCTTCTTCCTGAGGCAGTTTCTGAACATCCTCAAAACTCTCGGGTTCACACTGTGCCATTCCGACCCACACACTAGTGACGGCAAACCTGTCAGGAGGTTTCCCCTTGGTCGTCTGTGTTGAACGGCGCAGCACTACTTCAGGAACCCCCTCTGACCCACTATGTGCTGGTCCCGGGGGTAAGGTACCTTGGGTGTAGCAGAGTCCACACGAAGAGGGGCAAGGTCCGAGGCAGAGAGCCGGGCGGGGAACAGGAATGCTGGAACAGGAGGCTGTGCAGGGAACAGGAACACCGGATGGTCGGGAACAGGAGGCCGAGCAGGGAACAGGAGTACCGGATAGTCAGGAACAGGAAGCCGAGCAGGGATCAGGAACACAGGAAGGTCCGAAGCCAACAACGACGTTGCTCCCGCAACCTGGGGCCGGGCTGACTGGGCTTTTATCCTCTTCTAAGGCCAGGGGCGGTCCCGGTCCCCAGGAGCCCCGCCTCCTCTGGCCTTAAGGCGAGCACTCCTCCTGGGGGCAACCAGTTCCCTTCGCCTCTCTGCCCTAAGCCTCTGCAGATCAGGAGAGGCCGAGAGGGTTACTGGGCCCTGGAGGAGGCTCACCTGTGGCCACTGAGTCATCAAGCCCCTCTGGGGCCAGAAGGAGCTTCACCTGGGGCCAGCTCCTGATGCACTGCCACAGGTGCAGGCTCTTCAGCATCTAGGCCTTGCCCCAGTTCAGCCGGCCCTGGAGGCGGGGACTCCTGTGCAGGCTGGGATTCCTCTGTTTCATCCTCCGAATCGGAATCCCAGGCCATCACACCATCCCCCCTCCCAGGCCCCCCCCTCAACCGAGGGTCCGGACCCGGCTTGCCGGGGTACGTCGCATGGAACTCTCGGAGGCAGGCAGGTGCGTGGACATTGGCCGCTGGTTCCCAGGAACGGTCCTCCGGTCCGTACCCCTTCCAGTCAATGAGATACTGCAGCTTTCCCCTGCGGTATCGGGAGTCCAGGATGCGTTCCACCTCGTACTCAGGCTCTCCCGAACCAACACTGGCTGCGGTCGGGGACGGTCCGGGTGGAACTCGTCGGGTGGGGCCACCGGACTCAAAGGGACCTGTGGAAGACCGGGTGAACCTTCAGGGTTGCGGGTAACCGGAGACGGAATGCCACAGGAGAGATTTGGTCTACGATAGGGAACGGGCCGGTGAAGCGGGCGTCCAACTTCCGCGAAGGTCGAGAGGGGTGGAGGTGGCGAGTGGAGAGCCAAACCAGGTCACCGACGCGAAGTTCCGGCCCCACCTGGCGGTGGCGGTCGGCCTGGGCTTTGTACGCTTCCTTGGCCTGGTGCAGTTGCTCCACCAAAAGCTGTTGCTGGGACTGGAGCTCTTGAAGCCACTCCGTCACCGCCGGGACCGCGGATGCCGGCAGCACCTCTGGAAACAGCCGTGGATGATAACCATAACTGGCCTGGAACGGGGTCTGCTGGGTGGACGCATTCACCGCGTTGTTATAGGCGAACTCCGCCAATGCCAGGTGGTCGACCCAGTCATCCTGCTGGTAGCTGCAGTAACACCGGAGGTACTGCTCCAGCACCGCGTTCGCCCGTTCCGTCTGGCCATCGGTCTGTGGGTGGTAGGCTGACGAGAGGCAGACCTCTGTCCCGAGGGTCTGGTGTAATGCTCGCCAGAACCGGGATGTGAACTGAACGCCCCGGTCGGACACCACGCGCTCAGGTAGTCCATGCAGGCGGAAGACATGCTGAAGGTACAGCTGAGCAGTTTCCTTGGCTGTGGGTACAGATGGACAGGGAGCGCAGTGCACCATCTTGGTGAAATGGTCGGAGAAAACCAGAAGGCAGGTACAGCCACGAGACGAGGTAAGTCCACTACAAAGTCCAACGAAACCGTGTGCCAGGGGCGCGGTGGAACTGGCAATGGCTGAAGTAGGCCGGGGGTCGCCCGGTAGGTCCCTTGGCGCGCCGGCAGACATCACAACCAGCAACGTAGCGAGCCACGTCAGCCTTCAGGCGGGGCCACCAAAACTCTCGACTGACCAGATGGGTGGTCCGATACCGTCCAAAGTGCCCCGCTGCTGGGGCATCATGGGCCATCCGGAGAACCTCCAGCCGTAGTGGCCCTGGCGGGATGTCCAGACGACCGTGGTGCAGCAGAAGGCCCTGATGCAGGACCAGCCCCGGATACTGTGGGCTGGACCCTTCAGCCAGCTCCCGGAGTCGTTCCTGGGCCCAAGCGTCGACCCGCTGCTGTTCCCGCACCCGAACCTGCAGTGGCTGCGCCTCCTGGGTGGCCAGGAATGCAGCCGGAGGTAGGATCGTGGTGGGTTCTGCTTGCTGTACCGTGTCTGCGTTGTCTTCGGGTTTCCGGGACAGGGCATCCGCCTTCTGATTCTGAGAGCTAGGGATGTAGCGGATCCGGAACTGGAACCGGGGCAAGAACAACGCCCACCGGATCTGTCTTTGGTTCAGCTTGCGGGTGGTCTGGAGGTACTCCAGGTTCCGGTGGTCGGTTCTCACCTCCACCGGATGTCGTGCCCCCTCAAGATGGTGGCGCCAGACCTCAAAGGCTACCTTGATGGCCAGTAGTTCCCGCTCCCACACAGTATAGTTACGCTCCGCTGGTAGGAGCTGGCGAGAATAGAAGGCACAGGGTAAGAGTGGCGCTTCAGGACCAATCTGTTGAGACAAGACGGCACCGAGAGCCGTACTGGAAGCGTCGGTCTCCACCACAAAGGGTCGAGAGGGGTCAGGATGTTGTAAGATTGGTGCCCTCTGGAAACAGGCCTTCAACCCCTGAAACGCCTCCTCTGCCTCCTTGTCCCAGGAAAACGGCGTCTTTGGGCGCAGTAGCCGGGTCAACGGGGTGGTGCGATGAGCATAATCAGCGATGAAGGTCCGGTAGTAATTGGCGAACCCCAGGAAACGCTGCAGGTCCTTGCGGTTCCGGGGTGCCGCCCATTCTTGAACCGCTGTCACCTCCCCGGGTCCATTTGCACCCCATCTGGAGAGAGCCGGTGACCAAGGAAGTCCACAGTCCGCTGATGGAACTCGCACTTGCTGAGCTTTGCGTACAAACGGTGCTCACGCAAGCGCTGCAGCACGGTCCGGACATGTCCCTCATGGCAAGCCGGGTCACGGGAGTAAATCAGTATGTCATCCAAATACACCACCACGTACTTGTCTAACAAGTCCTGAAACACGTGGTTGATGTAGCGTTGAAACACAGCAGGCGCGTTGCACAAACCGAAAGGCATAACCAAATATTCGAACTGCCCGTACCGGGTCCCAAACGCTGTCTTCCACTCATCCCCGGCTCGGATCCGAATCAAGTTGTAGGCCCCCCGGAGGTCCAGCTTGGTGAACACCTGTGCCCCTTGCACCCGCTCCAGCAGTTCCGAGATAAGGGGCAAGGGGTACCGGTCTGGGACGGTAATTTTGTTCAGGGCTCGGTAATCATGGCAAGGGCGGAGTTCCCACATTTCTTCTTAACGAAAAGCACTGGTGCCGCGGTAGGCGAGGTGGAAGGCCTAATGAACCCACGCTCCAGGTTCTTGCGCAAGAAGTCCTGCAAAGCCTCGCGCTCTGGCTCTGTTAGGGAATATAAGCGACTCACTGGTAAAGGCGCTCCGGGTTGGAGGTCTATGCCGCAGTCAAAGGCCGATGTGGCGGCAGCTGGTCTGCCCCCGTTCCTCGAACACGTCCTGGTAGTCCTGGTACACGGCTGGGAGCGTGGGTGCTGCCTCCTCTGAGGCGCGGCCGCCAGCGTTCCGGATTGAGCATGGGAACATGGGTCTGGGAAGTGCACGGTCCGTTTGACCCAGTCAATCTGAACGTTGTGGGCTTCCAGCCAGTCCATCCCGAGCACCAGGGGAAGCGGGGCATAGAGGCAATGTCCAAAGTCCGCAACTCCCGGTGCTGCTGGAGACACAGGACCAAGGGCTGGGTCTCCTGAGTAACGGCACCTGAACGCAGAAGTCGTCCGTCAATCGCTTCCACCTGGACCGGTACTGGCTTGTTCCGCAGTGGCACCTGATGATGGGCGGCAAAAGCAGCGTCCATATAGGAGCGGGTTGCCCCTGAATCTACCAAAGCATGGGTGAGGATCCAGGGCCCACCTGGAGGGTATAAACGTACTGAAACCATAAGATGTTGCAAGTCCATTGGTGCGGGCCCATTCTGTACGGTTTGGGACCCCCGGTAGCTAGGGCCATCAGCTACTGGGGTTGGCGGTTTCCCTGCGGCTGGCGTTTCTCAGGGCAGGACCGAGCGAAGTGTCCACTTCCGCCACAGTAAAGACAGAGATTTCCCTCCCGACGCCGCGCCTTCTCTGCGGGGAAAAGGCGTGGCCGCACTGCCCCGAGCTGCATAGGCTCCTCCGTTAAATCAGTTGTGACCGTGGGGCTGCCGGAAAAAGCTGGTGCCGTGAACTGGAAGTGTCGGCGACCCGGGCCTGACGACGATCCTCCAACCGGTCGTCTATTTGTAGACTCCGTTGAATGAGAGTGTCCAGCGTGGTGGGGCGTTCCATTGTGGCCAACTGGTCCAGTACCTCGTCCGAAAGCCCTTCGAGATACTGGTCCCGCAGTGCCGAGTCATTCCAGGTCAAGTCCTGTGCCAACAGCCGAAACTCCGTGGTATATGTGGCCACCGTGGACTTGCCCTGTTTCAAACGCCGAATCGCCCGGTTGGCTTGACTCTCTTTCTGGGGGTTGCCGAGCGCGGCCTCCAAGCGATTGCAAAACCCCGTATAGTCTGCCAGCAAGGGGAGTCTTGCCTGAGTAACGGCAACGCCCACTTGGCCGCCTGGTCCTTTAACAAACTAATCAAAAAGTGCACCTTGGTGCGGTCGTCAGGAAAGTTCCGGGCTCGCCCCTGAATATACAGCTTGGCCTGGGCCAGGAACATGGGAAAGCTGGCCGGGGCTCCATCAAATTTCTCAGGCAAAGCCACTGGGTACTTGCCCGGAGCCGGGCGTCGGCCCCAGGAGCCGGTAGGGCTTCCAAGCGTTGCTGAAGTGCCACAACCGCGTCGCTGAGCTGCTGCACGGTGTGATTCAAGGCCTGGTTCTCCTGGGCCAAAGCCACCAGTGCAGCCGCCTGTTCAGCCATGGCCTCTGGCTCTTCCCGAACGCACCCCTACGAAGGGGAAGTGCGGGTGTGGCGGGAGCAAACTGTGCTGGTCCCGGGGGTAAGGTACCTTGGGTGTAGCAGAGTCCACACGAAGAGGGGCAAGGTCCGAGGCAGAGAGCCGGGCGGGGAACAGGAATGCTGGAACAGGAGGCTGTGCAGGGAACAGGAACACCGGATGGTCGGGAACAGGAGGCCGAGCAGGGAACAGGAGTACCGGATAGTCAGGAACAGGAAGCCGAGCAGGGATCAGGAACACAGGAAGGTCCGAAGCCAACAACGACGTTGCTCCCGCAACCTGGGGCCGGGCTGACTGGGCTTTATCCTCTTCTAAGGCCAGGGGCGGTCCCGGTCCCCAGGAGCCCCGCCTCCTCTGGCCTTAAGGCGAGCACTCCTCCTGGGGGCAACCAGTTCCCTTCGCCTCTCTGCCCTAAGCCTCTGCAGATCAGGAGAGGCCGAAGGGTTACTGGGCCCTGGAGGAGGCTCACCTGTGGCCACTGAGTCATCAAGCCCCTCTGGGGCCAGAAGGAGCTTCACCTGGGGCCAGCTCCTGATGCACTGCCACAGGTGCAGGCTCTTCAGCATCTAGGCCTTGCCCCAGTTCAGCCGGCCCTGGAGGCGGGGACTCCTGTGCAGGCTGGGATTCCTCTGTTTCATCCTCCGAATCGGAATCCCAGGCCATCACACACTAGGGCCAGCCAGAACGTCCTCGGCATCAGAGAGCTCCCCCTCTGACTTACTGCGCCTTCTGGACTTCTCAGCTGAACCTGTGGGGGAAGATGGAGCACTGCGTTGCTCACTCTTCACAGCCTTGGGAGAAGTTCTCCCCTCTGCCTGCACTGGGTCTGGACTCTGAGCCTCAGTCGCAGGTTCAACCTCTTCCTCTCCTTCATCAGCAGAGTCTAGCAGACTCTCTGACAGGATGTCAGGGTTCCCATGTATCCTTGCCCAGCCACTCTGCTCACAGAATTCAGCACTGTTGCTGAGCAGAATCCTGGACTGATTCCCTGACGGATAAGCAAACCTCCACCCCTTGGTCCCTGGCTCATACCCACAAAAATCATCTTTTGGGACTTGGGTTCACCTTTCTTGCGTTTGGCCTTTGGTATGGGGACCCAAGCCTCACAGCCAAAAACGCGGAAGTAGTGCACTTTCGGTTTCTTGCCATGGAGCAAGAAGTACGGTGTGTCACCTACCACTGAATTGAACGACCTGTTCAGAATAAAGTTGGCCGTTCGCCAAGCCTCCCCCCAAAAACGCTGTGGGAGCCCGGCATCAAACAAAAGAGCTGCGGACTTATCCCATAGAGTCCTGTTCCTGCGTTCCGCGATCCCATTCTGTTGGGGACTGTGTGGAGAAGTCAACCTGTGTTGAATCCCCTTTTTGCGGAAGAAACTTTGCAGTGCAGACCCGGTGAACTCCCCACCGCGATCGCTCTGAAAGTTTTGCACCCGTGTGGAAAACTGCAGTTCCACAGCCGCAATCCAGTCTTTGATTAGCGGCGCAGCTTCATCTTTGCGCCGAAGCAAAAAACACCAAGAATTCCTAGTATGGTCATCAATCAGAACCAGCGAATATTTGGCTCCGCCCAAACTGCTCACAGAAAACGGTCCACACAAATCTGCATGAATTAATTGAAAAGCCCTAGTGGTCACCCTCTCAGACCTAGGGTATGTGCACGTTTTCACCTTTGCGGACTTGCACGCTCTGCAATCTAGAAACTTAGCACATGATTTCATTTTGCACCCTTGCGTATACTCTGGGATCCTTCTCACCGACCCCCACGACACGTGTGCCATACGTCTGTGCCAGAGATGTTGACACGCATCATGAACTGGAACATTGGCACACTGCGCTTGAGCCTCCTCCGTGTCATCCGTGTCATCTGGACCTGCAAAAGAAGCATTTATCACAAACAACCTGTCTTTACATTCAACACTGACTAGGTGCTGTCCATTCTTGGAAATAGAACACTTATTGTTCTCAAAACACACTCTGTAGTTCTCAGCAAGAAGTGCACTGACAGACAGCAACGCGCAGGACAGTCCTGGAACAACAAAAGCCTGGATTGAGTCCTGCAAGAAAGAACAAAACAGTGAGCCACTCTGCGTGAGTGGGTGTCGAGTCCCATCTGCTAAACAGACAGTCTTCCCAGTTTTTACAGAGGTGCAATTCTCCAGGAATCCACTAGATGGCACAAGATGATGAGATGCTCCTGAGTCGACCACAAAAGCCAGCTCAGCATCCTGTTGACAACTCTTGACTACAGCCATAGAGGCAGCCAAATGTTTACGTTCAGTGTCTCTGCCAGCTGCCTTCGGCTTGCCTTTCCCACGCTTCGAAGACGAGCTCTTTATCTGGTTGCTACGGGAGACGGCCTTGGGCTGTTCCTCCACTGGACATTCTCTCACCAGATGGGAGGGGGAGCCACAGCGATAACAGCGGCGACGCGTAGCAACAGCTCTCACAGCTCCCTCTTCAGCCATTCCTTTGTTCCCAGCACCCCCACCTTTGGGTGCACAGCCTGGGCCTGCACGCTCCCCAGCACTCTGGTTGTAGGCCTCAACATCACACGGCCCCTCGGAGACAAAGCAGCTACTCCCAGCTGTAACTTTAGGAACATGGCCAGCAGCCCCCCTCTGGGCTCTCAGCTTCCTCCCTGCTCTCGGCTTTCTCCCGGCCCTGGGCTCCTGCTGAGTTCTCACACAGACTCCTCAGCACCTGCCAGGCGGCCTGAGCCGACTCAATGCCCTCCAGGTGGGGCAACAGCATAGCGTCCACGCTTGCTCTCAACATGCAGAGCTCCTTTGCATTCTCAGCTCTCTATCTTCCAGGAGAGCAGCCTCCCAGTTCTGCTCCTCCTTCTTCAGCAGCAACTGGCATGGGTGGGGCGGGCTCCTTCTGGGCTATATCCCAGAACCCTGTGGCCAAAAACCACCCCTGACTCTTCTAACCCAGATATCCCAGGACTGGGTTGTGAGTTTTTCAAACGGGACATCATAAAAGTCCTGGAGCTCAGCCATCTCCCCCAGTGCTCCCATTGGGGCTTTGAAGTACTCACACGTACCAGCCAGCTTCAAAGGAGAGGCCTCCAGTGGCTCCTTGCAGCACACAGCTTGCATCCAGCTTTGCAGCACACAGCTTGCCTGCTTTCTCCCAGGCGAAGCCTCAAAGCAGGACTTTTGCATTCCGGCAGCAAAACAACAGCTTCTCAGTTTCCAGCCTTCTTAAGCACACAGCACATCAAAGCAGGCTTCCTCTAATTGCAATTACTGCCCCCATAACCTCTGAGATATCTTGATTTATTGCTCAGATAAGCGTCCGGCACGCTTCCCCCATTGCGTAGGCCTCTGCATTCCAAAGGGCACATTCCGATACTTCTGAGCATAGCAGAGTTCGTCAGCGGCTAGAGGAAGCCAAAACACTCCAGTGCATTCTTCAGTGTGCTTAAATGAAGTCCACTCAGGATATTAGCAGCTAAAAGCAGTTTTATTTACAGCAGGCTATCCATTATCTATCACAGCGAACAGCATCGCGAAAACACGTCCTCTCTCCTCAAAAGCGAAAGTAGAGAGACAGAACAAAGACTTTAGTCTCTCGGAACTGACCGTAGCATTTCCCCCCTCCTCTCCACAGTGGGCAGAGCGTACACTCTGAGCTGTTTAACCCTGTAAGCTCAGGTTTTCCTCACAGGCCCTCGGCACTGGACCTCAGTGTCCGGGCAAAATGATGGAGGTGGAGACACTCCTTACTGGACTGAGGCCATTTAGGGCATTAAAGGTCAGCCCCAACACTTTGAATTGTGCTCTGAAATGTACTGGGAGCCAGTGTAGGTCTTTCAAGACCGGTGTTATGTGGTCCCGGCGGACACTCCCAGTCACCAGTCTAGCTGCCGCATTCTGGATTAGTTGTAGTTTCCGGGTCACCTTCAAAGGTAGCCCCACATAGAGCGCATTGCAGTAGTCCAAGCGAGAGATAACCAGAGATAACCCCTTGTGTGGACAGTTCTGTGTTTGGGTTTTTTGGGGGGTGGCAGAGGGGCCTGAAACGGAGTTTACAGGAAAAGGGCTTGGCCGGCAGGGCAGGAGAGGCCTACGCCACAACAGCGTTTTGCAAGGTCTCCCTTGTTTGGTGCAGAACTTTTCCTTAAGTCGTGCTGTTATTCAGTTCAATGGCGGGAAAGATTTTAGGGGAACGGCAGTTCACGACGCCTTCCTAGGCCCCTGGAGGGAGGCCTCACTCCGCAGGGAATGGCGGTCCAGTGTCTTTTGGCCATTCTGTTCGCACCCAAAGCCTGCTCCCCGCTTCCCCCGCAGAGCGTACTCCTTCCACGTCAGCTCCGACGGGCAGATGCAGCCGGTGCCCTTCCCGCCCGACGCCCTCATCGGCTCGGGCATCCCTCGCCACGCCCGCCAGCTCCACACCCTGATGCACGGGGAGGTGGTCTGCGCCGTCACCATCAGCAATTCCACGCAGCACGTCTACACGGGGGGCAAAGGCTGCGTGAAGGTGTGGGACGTGGCCCAGCCGGGCGCAAAGACCCCCGTGGCGCAGCTGGACTGCCTGGTACGTACGAGGACGGGTGTGTGTGCGTTGGTTTGCGTGACTCGGTTTCCCAAGTGCATCCCTAGGGTCTCCCAGGACTTGGGTGCTCTCGTGGTCCTTGCAAGATGCGGCTGCCGTTTTTATTGCTTCCTGTCTTTTAAAAGAAATATATCACCATCATTCCTTCTAGCACTGATCTTCGGGGGTGAGTGCCAATCATTTCTCATTCAAAAATGGCACTTTCCATGTATAAGTGGGGAGAAAACCCAAAGGGTCAACCCGCTAAAAATTAAATCAGTTAATGAGGGATGGGCCTGGAATTATGACTTTCTGTTTGGGGTCAGGTCAGGGAAAGAGGACACGGAATGGAGTCTCTGACAAAGGGTGTGGCTGGCAGGCTGGAGCCCTGAGCAGAATCACTCCATTTGCAATTTTATATTCTAACCTAGAGTAAACCTTAAGCTGCTTAAAGGCTGGAATGGGGTCAGGTGTGTGGGGAGCGAACATGGAATGGAGTCTCCAACTAAGGTTTGTGGCTGGCAGGCTGCAGCCCTGAGCAGGATCACTCCACCTGCAATTTTATTTTCCAAGTGTGACTTAATAAACCTTTTGCCTATTCGGTTGGCCAAGAATTCAGACGTGTGGGATATTTCTGTTCTGCGTGTGCTATTTCTATCGCTTACGAAAGAAACTGGGAATATCGCCACTCCCTCTAAAGTCAAATCCCGAACGCCTTGCAAGTCGAACCTTTCGGCTCCCGAACGCCGCAAACCCGTAAGTGACTGTTCCGGTTTGCGAACGTTCTTTGGAACCCGAACGCCCGACGCGGCTTCCGATTGGAGCTTCCTGCGGCCAATCGGAAGCCGCACTTTGGTTTCCGAACGTTTTGGAAGTTGAATGGACTTCAGAACAGATTCCGAGGTACAACTGTATTCGCAATCTTCAGGGGTGAGCGCTGATCGTTTTTGCCATTCCGAACGGTGCCGACCGCTTCCTTAAACCTCTTCCTCCCTCACCACAGAACCGAGAAAACTACATCCGGTCATGCAAGCTCCTCCCCGACAGCAGAAGTTTGATCGTGGGCGGGGAGGCCAGCACCCTCTCCATTTGGGACCTGGCGGCACCGACTCCCCGGATCAAGGCGGAACTGACGTCCTCTGCCCCGGCCTGCTACGCCCTCGCCATCAGCCCCGATGCCAAGGTCTGCTTTTCCTGCTGCAGCGATGGCAACATCGTGGTCTGGGACCTGCAGAACCAAACCCTTGTTAGGTGAGTCTTACCTGCTAGCAGTCTGTCTCCAGTACTGTTTTGGGGGGACAGGGGGCAGGCAGGTGTGGGGGATTCCCTGGTCCTGAATGGGGTAACTGTGCCCCTGAAGGACCAGGTGCGCAGCCTGGGAGTCATTTTGGACTCACAGCTGTCCATGGAGGCGCAGGTCAATTCTGTGTCCAGGGCGGCTGTTTACCAGCTCCATCTGGTACGCAGGATGAGACCCTATCTGCCCATGGACTGTCTGGCCAGAGTGGTGCATGCTCTGGTTATCTCCCGCTTGGACTACTGCAGTGTGCTCTACGTGGGGCTACCTTTGAAGGTGACTCGGAAACTGCAACTAATCCAGAATGCGACAGGTAGACTGGGGACTGGGAGCGGACACCAAGACCACATAGCACCGGTCTTGAAAGACCTATATTGGCTCCCAGTACATTTTGGAGCACAATTCAAAGTGTTGGTGCTGACCTTTAAAGCCCTAAATGGCCCAGTATACCTGAAGGAGCGTCTCCACCCCCATCGTTCTCTCCGGACACTAAAGAACCAACTTTGGAAATTACTGCTTTAGTGGGACACCCGTTTCAGAAAAAAGACCTTTTTACCAGCAAAAACGTCACCCTTCTGTGATGACCCGTAAGTGTTGTTGTTGAGTCGTTTAGTCGTGTCCGCCTCTTTGTGACCCCCTGGACCAGAGCACGCCAGGCACTCCTGTCTTCCACTGCCTCCCGCAGTTTGGTCAAACTCATGTTAGCAGCTTCGAGAACACTGTCCCACCATCTCATCCTCTGTCCTCCCCTTCTCCTTGTGCCCTCCATCTTTCCCAACATCAGGGTCTTTTCCAGGGAGTCTTCTCTTCTCATGAGGTGGCCAAAGTCTTGGAGCCTCAGCTTCAGGATCTGTCCTTCCAGTGAGCACTCAGGGCTGATTTCCTTCCGAATGGAGAGGTTTGATCTTCTTGCAGTCCATGGGACTCTCAAGAGTCTCCTCCAGCACCAGAATTCAAACGCATCAATTCTTCGGCCATCAGCCTTCTTTTGGTCCAGCTCTCACTTCCATACATCACTACTGGGAAAACCATAGCTTGAACTATACGGACCTTTGTCGGCCAGGTCATGTCTCTGCTTTTTAAGATGCTGTCTAGGTTTGTCATCGCTTCTCTCCCAAGAAGCAGGTGTCTTTTAATTTCGTGACTGCCGTCACCATCTGCAGTGATCATGGAGCCCAAGAAAGTAAAATCTCTCACTGCCTCCATTTGTCCCCCTTCTATTTGCCAGGAGGTGATGGGACCAGTGGCCACGATCTTAGTTTTTTTGATGTTGAGCTTCAGACCATATTTTGCGCTCTCCTCTTTCGCCCTCATTAATTTGCCAGTCGGGGTTCTGAGCATAGCTGTCAACGTTTCCCTTTTTTAAGGGTAATTCCCTTATTCCGAATAGGATTCCTCGCAAGAAAAGGGAAAAGTTGACAGCTATGGTTCTGAGTGCTTTCAGAAAATAGCACCTGGTGCTTTGAAGGCCCGAAGTTCAGCTGTCTATTGGGGCTTCAAAGCACCAGTGCTGTGCGAGACCCAGATGATTGATTATTCCAACGTGTCTAATCTGTCATTCCTGGAATATTGGGTGACTCTCCTTTTATCTCTTCCTTTCCAGGCAGTTCCAGGGGCACACGGACGGCGCCAGTTGCATCGACATCTCGAACGACGGCACCAAGCTTTGGACGGGAGGCCTGGACAACACCGTGCGGTGCTGGGACCTCCGAGAAGGGCGCCAGCTTCAACAGCACGACTTCACCTCACAGGCATGGGGAGGGGGGCAAAGGAGGGGGCAGAAGGGGGAGGAGACTCACCTGGTTGAAGTGGGCATGGCCTCTGGGCAGCCATTAACAGTCGCCAATGATAGACGTAGCCTCCCAGAACCCTCTTGAAAAAGACATCTGTGTTAGCGTCTATCGCTTTCTTGTGGCGGTGAGTTCCATACGTTAACGAGTCCTTGTGTGAACAAGGACTTCCCTGAATCTCTTACCAATTTATAGATTTATGAACAAGCGAGAAAAAGCTTTCTTCTATTGGCAGTGGGCATAACTTTATACATATCACATCATTTTTTTAAAAAAATACCTTTTTTGTTGTTTTCAAAATACTTTTTGGCATGGGGAGGTGCTAAATCCCTGGGGATTTTTCTGCCTTGTTTTCTTTAGCTTAAAAACAAGAATTCAGAAATGTGAGGAGCAGAGAGGGGTGCTACAGTCTCCCAAAGAAAAATTCCGTCCCCAAACTCCTGGCAATCTTCTTTCCATCCACTCACCCTCTGGTTTCTCGGAGATTTCAGCGGGTTGTTCCCTGTCAGTAATAACGAGAACTAGAAACTGGGGTGCACATGTGAGAGAAATCGCTGTGTCGACTTCCGGGTCAGCACCATTGGTGAATGGTGGAGTTCCTCCGACCGGAGGAACGGGCTCCGTGGAAACTGGGTCTTCCCACCGCGGCGAAGGTGGGGACCCGCTAGAAATCCCAGGCGGAGGAAGCCTGGGAACGTGGAGTTCGGCAGGGCACCAGAAGCGCCCCCCTACTCGCGGGGAATCCCATCTAGGGGCTCCGGAGCGAAGTGGGGTGAGAAGCGCGGTGCTACGAACTGACTGCTACTTTCACGGAGTGAAGCCGCACAGCCATTGCCAGAGAGCGCTGACTTTTTCCTGTGGACAATTGGATTTAAAACAAGTAGCCGTGAGTAGAAACGGAAAATTGGATCAAGAAATTGTTTAATTTGGTATCGAAGCGGGAAGGTGCAAACAGGAAGTCCGCCTTCCGCTTTTTTGTATATAGACTAAAGCAAAAATTTTGCAAGCTAAAGCCGGGAGCTGTCAAAAAAGACTAAAGTTCCTTCATTCAGAACTACTGAAACCCCCCTTGGAAGCAGGAGAAAAGGGGGGGGACTCTGTTTAACCCTGGCAGGAGAGGGAGTGAAGAAGGATAAGTTTCCACCGTCTCTAACCTGGGAACGGGGTGTCAGAGACAGAAACTGTTGGAGAGGTTCATTGACTGTGAACGTAATACTTTGACAGATAGCTAATGAAGAGAAACAAGTGGATTCTAATGTTGCCTTTTGCATTTTAAAGAAACAAAATATCTGAAAAACATCTGAAATATCTGAAAAATGAAAGTAACTTTCCTTTGTCTTCAAAAAAAAAAATGGATACAAATAGTTTGTCTCCTCTAGAGGGAGCTTGCTAAATTGTTGCTGTAGGATATTTGAGACCCAACATCTGTGAGATTAAGACTGTGGGAACAGTCTTTTCTGACCTTGAACAAAGATGAGCTGGGAGGGAGACTGGGTGCTTGCTCTATGCAAGACAAATGCTTTGCTGGAACAGATGCATGAGAAGATGGACTTGATGAATGAGAAAATGGATTTGACTGTTGTGGTTGATAACTGTGGACAAACAGGGAACATTGATACAGAAATCAGTCAGGAACCAACCTATGAATTTGTACTGACTGGGCAAGTGCAGATGACAATGGAGGAGGATGCGGCTGCACCTCAAATAGTACAAATGGAGAGACCCGAGGCCCTACAGGAGCATAAGCCGCTGTTATTGAAGATTGAAATTGGAGTGGGCCAAGGGGAGTCTGGAGATGAGGAGATTCCTAGCTTTGGAGAGATCTTGAAATTTGATTTTAAATACATTTTGGATTATATCGAGGACTGTGGGGAGTGGGACTGTGGGGAATGGGCGAGCTGGATGAAGGGTGATGGAGACAATTTTGGGTTGGAATCCCCCAGAGAACTACTCCTCAATGAGAAAGGAAAGAAACTAAGACAGAGACCAACAAAAGACAAGGAAAAGGGCAAGCATAAACAAGATGAAGAAGAATTGCAGAAGGGACATGGAAGAGACTTAAGGGCCTCGGACATAAGGCTTCCAGGTTGATGGACTAGATGGAATGGACAGTAAGGACTGACACGACCCGAGACCAGGAAGAAGAGACGCTGGATGATGATTGAAAGAGAATTTATAATGGAAATTTTGTATTTTAGAATCAGCTTAATGAATATTAGGGAAAATGTGGGAATGAAACTATACGACTCTAGCAGAAATGTTATCAGGAGCTATGTATATTTGAAAACTAAGATTTAAGTCTTAAGGTACATAGGGGTAAGATAAGGTTAAATAAATTAAGATAATTTGAATAACAGAATATGGGGAAAGATGGAAAGGATTTGTTGAGTTAATTATTAGGTTAAATTGTTAAGATAAATTTTATAACAAAAATTGAGAAAGATGGAAAGAATTTGCTGAAATAATTATCAAACTAGAATACAAAAAGGGAGGTGTGAGGAGGTCAATGAAACAAGCAAATGGAAATTATGGATATGCAATTTGGGATTTGTGGGTTTTTTCTCCTTTTTTTTCTTTTTCTTTATTTTCTTTTGTTGTATTGTCGTATATTTTGTGCTTTTCTCTTTTTTATTTATTTATATTTTTTTGTATTGTAGTGTTGTTGTTTTTTATTTTTCTTGTAATCCTGAAATTATCAATAAATATTATTAAAAAAAAAAGAAATCGCTGTGTCCTGGGCAACCGAAATAATTACACCATCCGCCCAGCACTTTCCATTTTTGCTTCTCGCCTCCATCCACGTTGCAACTAGAACTGAGGACTAAAACTTGGTGGGGGTTGAAATTAAGGCAGAGGCTTGCGGAACGCACTGGGAGCTGACCAGTAGGTGGCGCTAAAGCTAATGGCAGGCAGAGCCACTTCCTGACAAGTTGAAGTGAGAAGTCAGGCTTAAAGTAGTTTTTGCACTGCTCCATTCGCCCTAATGGCTCAGCCACCACTGTTTCCCCCCTCCCCCCCCTTCCAGATTTTTTCCCTGGGTTACTGCCCCACAGGGGAGTGGTTGGCGGTCGGTATGGAAAGTAGCCACGTCGAAATCCTTCACGTCTCGAAGCCCGAGAAGTACCAACTCCATCTCCATGAGAGCTGCGTCCTCTCCCTCAAGTTCGCCTCCTGCGGTAAGCCTGGGGTTTCTGCGAAAATTATTATTATTATTGATTTATGTACTGCCCTTCATCACAGGGTCTTGGTGCGGTTCACGGAATAAAATTACACAAGAGACATATTTTGTACTATGAACAGCTCAAATTGCCAAGTGCAGCTTTTAAATCGGGGGAGGAGGTAAAGAGTAGACAGACTGACGGGTGCTTCTACAGGATAGGGCCCCTTCCAGCCATAGCTGTCAAGCGTCCCTTATTTGGTGGGAAAGTCCCTTATCCCAGCACCGTGTCCCGCTGCTGTCCCTTATTGATGATGTCCCTTAAATTTCCCGGGTTTCAAAGGAAGCAGCTCCTCTCCCTCCCTCCCTGCCGGCCAGGGAGGAGGGAGGCTCCAACTGTGTTGTTTGGCTGCGTTGCTCACCCAATAAGGAGTCTAAGAACGACTGGGGGGTGGAGCTTGCATGCCTTGTGCCGATCAGATCGGCCGCCTTGCCTGGGGACTCGCCTTTGCTCAGCGCTTCCCAGCGGAGAGGTGACGGTGGTTTTCCTTGCTGCATCCCCTTTGCCGGGTTGCTGCGCTGTGGGAACCACCGCTTGAGGCTTCGTTTGGCTGCTGGCTGGGCTTTCTGCCTTTGGCTCGGAGGGGCTCAGAAGTTGAACATACCTTTGCTTGGAAAATCCCTTATTTTCAAGGTTGCTGGTCCCTTATTTTCGAGGCTGCTGGTCCCTTATTTTCAAATCTGTAAGTTGACAGCTATGGTCAGATGAGATTATTCTCTTTATTGAGAGGCAGCAAACAGCCTGTTTCTCCCCCCTTTACAGGGAAATGGTTTGTGAGCACTGGGAAGGACAACTTATTGAACGCCTGGAGGACACCCTACGGGGCCAGCATATTCCAGGTAAGAGAGAGCCAGGGTCAGCCCGCTGATGGGTGAGAGAGGAGACCTATGCAGTGTGGCTGTGGACTAACAATTCATTTATCCGTAAGAATTGGTGGTAATTCGTCTAGCTTCCAAACGCACACCCCTTTCTCCGATCAAATAAGTTGTCTGGAGAGTTGTTGATTTTTCTAGACGGGGTAGGCAAACTAAGGCCCGGGGGCCGGATCCGGCCCAATCGCCTTCTAAATCCGGCCCGCAGACAGTCCGGGAATCAGCGTGTTTTTACATGAGTAGAATGTGTCCTTTGATTTAAAATGCATCTCTGGGTTATTTGTGGGGCATAGGAATTCGTTCATTTTTTTCTTCAAAATATAAGCCGGCCCCCCACAAGGTGTTAAGGGACAGTGGACCGGCCCCCTGCCGAAAAAGTTTGCTGACCCCTGTTCTAGACAGTCAAGGGTCCAGAAACCGAGCCTGATGAGGAACGGTTGAAGGAGCTGGGTATGTTTAGCCTGGGAGATAGAGGAGATAATGAGAGCCACCTTCAAACATCTCCAGGGCTGTCGCGTGGCGGATGGAGAAAATTTGTTTTCTTCTGCTTCAGAGGGCAGGACTCGAACCCACGGCTTCCAGTGATGGTTCCAACTAAACATTAGGAATAAATTTTCAGCACGGGGAAAACGGACTCCATCGGGAGATGGACTCCTTCCGTGGAGGCTATTAGGCAGAAGTTCAGTCAATGCTTTAGCTGAGATTCCTGCATTGCAGAGGGGTTGGGATGGATGACCTTTGGGTTCCTTCCAACTTTTTTGCTTCCATTTTTTTCCTAGCATTTATTGGAGGGTTTTAGTTTTAAAGTTTTGTTTCCTGAGGTTCGGGGCGAGAAAGGTGACCTCCTGCTCTCGTGAAAACCAAACCTGGCCTCGTTTCAACACCAGCAGCCAGACTGGTGACTGGGAGCAGCCGCTGAGACCATATAACACCAGTCTTGAAAGACCTACACTGGCTCCCAGTACGTTTCTGAGCACAATTCCAAGTGTTGGTGCTGACCTTGAAAGCCCTAAATGGCCTCGGCCCAGTAGACCTGAAGGAGCGTCTCCACCCCCATCGTTCAGCCCGGACACTGAGGTCCAGCTCCGAGGGCCTTCTGGCGGTTCCCTTATTGCGAGAAGTGAGGTTACAGGGAACCAGGCAGAGGGCCTTCTCGGTGGTGGCGCCCGCCCTGTGGAACGCCCTCCCGTCAGATGTCAAAGAGAACAACTACCAAACTTGTAGAAGACATCTGAAGGCAGCCCGGTTTAGGGAAGCTTTTAATGTTTGATGTATTACAGTATTTTAATATTTTTTTGGAAGCCGCCCAGAGTGGCTGGGGAAGCCCAGCCAGATAGGTGGGGTATAAATAATAAATTATTATTGTTATTATTATTATTAACCCTTTCTCTTCCCCATCCCTTTTTTAAAAAACACACTTTCAGTCCAAGGAATCTTCGTCGGTCCTCAGTTGCGACGTTTCCACCGACGACCAGTTCATCGTCACCGGTTCCGGAGACAAGAAGGCATCCGTCTACGAAGTGATGTATTGAGGACAAGTCGGTCTCCTCGCCGAAAGAGAGAGGGGCGGATGATCCCCATAGTGTTTCCCCACCCCCCCAGCCAAAGAATACACTTAAAACTTAGCCCGGAGAGCAGAGTTGGACCTCCTTTCTCCTGCTAAGTACGTTCCTTTCGTGGATGAGGGTTTCTGTTTGTGCCTGCGTTTGGGAAAGGGGAAAGAGGATTTCAGAAATAGGACTCTGCTGCTGCTTTTAATTCTCCCCCATTTGATTTTTTATTTTTATTTTTTTCCGGTGGGTTCAAGAGGGAGTAGGGTTGCCTCTTTCCCCCGCAACTCTCTCTCTCCTTAATTGTGTGTTCAAATCTTAAACAACTCGGAACTGTTTCTTGTGTGTTTTGATGCTTTTTTTTTTAGAATCTTTAAAATAAAAATAAAAACGGGATGGGTTGTTTTGTGGCACAACTCGGCCTCTGTTCCTTTTGTTTGGGAGATATTCTCTCTGCCTGTCTATCGTCTCTTTCTTACTTGTCCTCCTCCTCTCTCTCTGTCTTTTTTTCGTCTTTTCTGTCTCCTTCCTTCCTTCCTTGGGGAGCTTCCAGGGAGAGAGGGACAGGTCTGAAGGTAGTTTTCCAAACAACGGGTTGCGACTTACCTTTAATATCAGAATTCTCTGCGCTGTCAAGAAATCCCATCTTCCCACGCAAGCAAGAGAACATACCGTATTTTTTGCTCTAGAAGACTCACTTTTTCCCTCCTAAAAAGTAAGGGGAAATGTGCGTGCGTCTTATGGAGCGAATGCAGGCTGCGCAGCTATCCCAGAAGCCAGAACAGCAAGAGGGATTGCTGCTTTCACTGCGCAGCGATCCTTCTTGCTGTTCTGGCTTCTGAGATTCAGAATATTTTTTTCTTGTTTTCCTCCTCCAAAAACTAGGTGCGTCTTGTGGTCTGATGCATCTTATAGAGCGAAAAATACGGTATATTGTGGTTCAAGGTTCTTTTCCAGACGGGCAAAGACATTCAAGGAACGTGGCTGGGGCGTTTGGCCTGGGGAACAGCCCCCAAGGGCCAGACAAGAGAGATTTGTGGCCCTCCGGCCCTCTACTTCCCCCCCACCCCTATGGATGAGTGCTTCTAGAACCCTGTGGACATGAGAATGGATTTTACTGCATTCCCCTTCAAGGCGAGATTGCCCAAATCGGTCGAGGCACCTTGTGGACTCGGCTCTCGTGGTCTGTGCCAGAGAGCACATGGAAGGTAAGGTAAAGGTAAAGGGACCCCTGACCATTAGGTCCAGTTGTGGCCGACTCTGGGGTTGCGGCGCCCATCTCGCTTTATTGGTCGAGGGAGCCGGCGTACAGCTTCCGGGTCATGTGGCCAGCAGGACTAAGCCGCTTCTGGCAAACCAGAGCATCGCACGGAAACGCCGTTTACCTTCCCGCCGGAGCGGTACCTATTGATCTACTTGCACTTTGACGTGCTTTCGAACTGCTAGGTTGGCAGGAGCAGGGACCGAGCAACGGGAGCTCACCCCGTTGCGGGGATTCGAACTGCTGACCTTCTGATCGGCAAGTCCTAGGATCTGTGGTTTAACCCACAGCGCCACCCACGTCCCTTGTGGTCCCAGCTCTCGTGGTCTCTGCCAGAGAGCACGTGGAAGGACTCGGATACAAATCTCCGACATCTCCACGTAAGGAAGGGAAAGGCGTCCGGTCAAAACCCCGAAGGACCTTCTGACAGTCGACAAAGGGCTTGCCCACGCCAGAATTCACTGTCTGCACACAGCCATTTCCTTTCCTGTATAATTTCCGTAAATTCACATAGCCTTACACTCAAACCACCAATCTCGATGCTTCGCCTTGTAAATTCAGGCTTACACAATACAGTGGACGCTTGGGTTGCGAACGTGATCCGTGCGGGATGCACATTCGCAACCCACAGCGGCACATCTGCTTACATGCAGGTTGCAATTCAGCGCTTCTGCGCATGTGCAAAGCACGATTTAGTGCTTCTGCGCATGCACGACCGCCGAAACCTGGAAGTAACCCGTTCCAGTACTTCTGGGTTTCGGCAGTCCGTAACCCAAAAAAAACGCAATCTGAAGTGTCTGTAACCTGAGGTACGACTACGGGGACAAGCCAATAAATTTTGGGGAAAATGGGGCTCCAAACCACTCCACACAGGGTTGCAGATTATTCAGTGCGATGCTTCTCTTTGTAGACCTGCTACTTCCCCAACACTTGAGTGTTTCTTTTTTTGCCTGGGCTCATAACTGCCCAGTGCAGAATGGAGGCATGTATTTTCCCTCCCTCCCGTCCCCTTTTCACCCCTCGGATTTTCCCAAACCCAGAAAACTGCACAAAGCAAACCACATTTTTTAAAAATAAATAAATTCTGCACCGGATATATTGGGCAAGAATCTGCATGGCAGCAGGGTTCGTCTATATGACTCTTGGGGTCCCAACTGTACAATTTTGTAGGAATTGTGTGCTGAGATTTTACAATTGCTCCTGTTTCTTTTCTAGCCTATTAGTAAGGGGGGGAGCTTTTATATAGAGATTGAGAAAGAGGGGGAGATCCCTCAGGTGTGCACAAAACCAGAAAATTCCACTGATACTTAATTGTCATCATTGAATAAACAAATTGGATGGCGGAGACAAACTCAAAAAACCTCATTATCTGCCTATATAAATGGAAATGTAATGATGTCGTCACACTGCAATTCAACAGCAGAGCAAGGACTGGTCGGCTGACCCAGGTGAGCTGTTCAATGCCTGTTCCCCCCTCCTTACCTACAGCAAGTTTTTATGGGGGGGAGAGAAGGCCCTTTACTTGTGTTTTTCCCCATTTTATATTGAACAGCCAGCCCTCCCCCCATCCAAAAGATCCCTGGGACGTGTACTTTGCTCAGGGTGCTGCGATTCTCGAAGGGCTTAGTCAATCCTTTCTCGTAGGGGATTCTGAGAACCGTAGCGCAGCAACCCTGGTGAAGTTTGAAGGAACTGGGTGGGGTTTGGGGAGAAGGGCGCCACAAGCCAAACAGGACCCCTCACTCTGCCTTTTCCAACTCTCCCCTTCCGGCCTGATGAAGGCAGCCTTTCCTAGACCGCAAAACTTCCCCGTCTCTCTGCCATAGCTGTCAACTTACAGATTTGAAAATAAGGGACCTGCAGCCTCGAAAATAAGGGACCAGCAACCTTGAAAATAAGGGATTTTCCAAGCAAAGGTATGTTCAACTTCTGAGCCCCCCCCAAGCCAAAGGCAGAAACCCCAGCCAGCAGCCAAACAAAGCCTCAAGCGGTGGTTCCCACAGCGCAGCAACCCGGCAGAGGGGATGCAGCAAGGAAAACCACCGTCACCTCTCCGCTGGGAAGCGCTGAGCAAAGGCGAGTCCCCAGGCGACGGGGCCGATTTGATCGGCACAAGGCATGCAAGCTCCACCCCCCCAGTCGTTCTTAGACTCCTTATTGGGTGAGCATCGCAGCCAAGCAACACAGTTGGAGCTTCCCTCCTCCCTGGCCGGCAGGGAGGGAGGGAGAGGAGCTGCTTCCTTTGAAACACGGGAAATTTAAGGGACATCATCAATAAGGGACAGCAGCAGGACATGTTGCTGGGATAAGGGAATTTCCTGCCAAATAAGGGACGCTTGACAGCTATGCTCTCTGCGACTTTTGAGCCAGCCCTTCCAGTTAATGAACGATGGCTTCTGCTTCCGCAGCCGATCGTGTCAGGGATTTATTTAGCGGTGTGCAAGGGGTGGAGCTGGATGAGCTCTGGGGGTCCCCCCGACACTGATAATCCATTCTGTGATTGCTTCTCCCCCTTACCCACCCCACGCGGACCCACAGATCCAGCCGCCGTTTTCCAACACGTTTAATTAGGGGGCGATTTAAGACGGGCCAATTTCTTTAGCACGCACCAGAGGGGAAAGTCGGCGGTGCTTTTAAGCGTCCATGTGGTGGGAAGGGGCTGTCAGGAGATGTAGAGAAGGGCAGCGGTAGGTCTCTCTTGCTTGTCAATCAAAGTGTGGGGAAGGGGATGATCTCCTTTGTTCATGGGGGGGTGGCAGGGAGACCCCACTAGGTGAGCAAAACTGCTTGGGGACCCCGTGATTCCAGCGCAGCTTCCTGAGAACGTTCGCCGCTGCTTTCAGTTTAAAAAAGGGAGGTTCCTAGTCCTCATGAGACGGCGAGCGACGTCAAAAGGGAAGATCGCCGGATAGGATTTCCTGGCCAAGTCTCCGTCCATCAAGTTCATGGCTGTTGGAGGGAGGTGGGGGAGGGAGTCCACCAAAAAAACAAAATAAGAAAATTACAAGGACAGCCAAGCCCCCTTCCTTCCTTCCTTCCTTCCTTCCTTCCTTCCTTCCTTCCTTCTCAGTACACCAGTTCATAAACGGTGGCCTTCTTGTCTCCCGATCCCGTCACGATGAATTTGTCATTGGCCGAGATATCGCAGCTCAGCACCGAAGACGACTCTTTGGACTGCCGAAGGAAAGGAAAGGGAGAATTCTTAATTTCGCGGTTCGGAAACGCGAGTGGCCTGCCTCGATTCGGCCGTTTTTGACCCGGCGTTGCGTTTCCAACAGGGGACAGCCTTGTGCCGCCTACAGACAGACCTTACCAGTGCCGGATTTACGTATAAGCTACACAGTGGTACCTCGGGTTAAGAACTTAATTTGTTCCGGAGGTCTGTTCTTAACCTGAAACTGTTCTTAACCTGAAGCACCACTTTAGCTAATGGGGCCTCCTGCTGCCGCCGCACCGCCGGAGCACGATTTCTGTTCTCATCCTGAAGCAAAGTTCTTAACCCGAGGTAATATTTCTAGGTTAGCGGAGTCTGTAACCTGAAGCGTATGTAACCCGAGGTACCACTGTATAAGCTAAACAAGCTATAGCTTAGGGCCTCACTCTCTTGGGGGGTCCCCCAAAAAATTAAACGGGAAAAAAACCACTGGATGTACATTTCCAAAATATGAGATAAAAGACAAATAAAACAAAACCTATATCCAGAAACAGTGTTTTGTGTTGT